AAGAGACAGGGCTGGGGCCGAGGGCAGGGGGGACATTGGCATTGACTCTCCCCAATGTCCTCAGCACCGCCTACACCGCTGAAGCCACCGACTACGACGTGCGGGTGCTCCTGCGGTTTCCCCAGCGGGTGAAGAACCAGGGCACGGCCGACTTTCTGCCCAGCCGGCCTCGGCACAGCTGGGAGTGGCACAGCTGTCATCAGTGAGTGTCCCCACCCCCCCTCCATCAGCCCTCCTTTTCATGGCAGTTTTAAGGGGGTTTTAATGGCATTTCCCCCTTTTTGTGGCTTTGCTTTGAGATCTTTCTGGGTGAGTGGGGGGCAGGTGTCACCTTGCTTCGCCTCTTTGCCCCTAAAGCCACCAAGCTCCTCCAATTAATGTCCCCAAGGAGGGGGCTGACAAGCCCAGGGTTGATGAGGAGCCCCCAGAATCACACTGGGGAAGGGGATGGAGTCATTTGGGGTGGTCACTCTGACTGTGGGTCCATCCCCCCCCCCCATCCCCAGGCACTACCACAGCATGGATGAGTTCAGCCACTACGATCTGCTGGATGCCACCACGGGGAGGAAGGTGGCCGAGGGCCACAAGGCCAGCTTCTGCCTGGAGGACACCACCTGTGATTTCGGCAACCTGAAGCGTTACGCCTGCACGGCCCATACTCAGGTGCCTTTGGCGGGGATGTTTAAAGGGTTCCTCGGGTGTCAGCACCCCCCAGCACACCCTGAACCCCCTTTTTTCCCCGCAGGGCTTAAGCCCGGGCTGCTATGACACCTACAACGCCGACATCGACTGCCAGTGGATCGATATAACAGACGTGCAGCCAGGGAATTACGTCTTAAAGGTGGCCAGGGTCACTGGGGGAGATTTTTAGGGGCAAACATTACCAGCTTAGGGTTGGTTTGGGACCTTCTTAACCATTGGGTTCAGGACCATGCACCTTTTTCAGGGCTATCTCTTTAACATGGATTGTGTGCTGCTCGTCCACCCTCTTACTAATTTTTAGAGGTGTTTTTTCTTCCCTTTCCCCCATTTTTAGGTTCAAGTGAACCCTAAATACATCGTCCTGGAGTCGGACTTCACCAACAACGTGGTGAGGTGCAACATCCATTACACCGGACGCTATGTTGCCACGACAAACTGCAAGATTTCCCAGTAAGGAGATGCCTGTCTGTCCTTCTTTGTCCATCTGTGCTCTGTTCTTCCCTCGGCCATCAAAAAAAACCGAGATGGGGGTCAGACCTGAGCAGTTTAATTCCCTTTTTGTCCCTTTCATCAGGGTTTCTCTGCCAGCTTAAAAAAAAGCAGCTGGATTTTGCCAGCAGTGGAGTTGGGGGTTGGTGTCTCACTCCCTTTTGGGATGTTTACATTCAATTTCCTTGTTATTCTAGGGAAGAAGGAAGCTGAGTTTCAAAAGACCACCCCCCACCCCCGCCTTTGGTATAACATTTAAAAATGTCTTCCTAAGCGCATTCTCCAAATCCTGGGATTTTTTTTTTTTGTGTCTTCTTTCAGATCTTGATGGGAGCAGGGCCAGAGGGATGTCACCTGCCCCAGCCTCTGTCTCCCTCTTGAGAAAGTGCCTGAACTGGCTTCTCTGTCCCACTGGAGACCCCAGAGCCCATCAGCAGCTCCTTGAGACCCCCCTCAAAAAAACCCCATTTCTTCATGTTAAAAGGAGCAGAAGCAAGAATGGATCTTTGAAATATTTTTTATACTTAACTTTTCTTTAACCTTCCTTTTTTTTTTTCCATTTTCTAAGGGAAACCGATGCTGAATTTTAGCTGGAATAAAGGCAGGGGCCCCTAAGTGCTGTATAAATGATGTAAATCGCGTATTAGCAATAGAGAGCTCTGTAGTCTTTAACCCCTTCAGCCTTTTTTTTTGGGGGGGGGGTCTCCAGCAATGCCACCTCCCTGGGGAAGAAGATGACAGCCCCGATTTGGAGGTGTTGCCCTGGCAGGGATGCTCGACCCCTCTTCTCGAGGTACCTGCCACGACGGGATGCTTTTGGGACTGAAGGTGCTGGAAATCCCGTCACCTTAACAGGGAGGCTTGCTCCATCTGTTCGGCTTTTAAAACTAGGGAGGGAGTCCTTGAGATGACTGGAAGTCTTGGGTTTTTTATTATTATTATTTTCACAAGCTTTAAAACCAGAAATCATTAAAACACGTTGCTTTTGAGGGTTTGGTGTTTAACTGAGACTGCGTGACACCGCGACAGCCCTCCAGGGCCACGGATGGGATGGGGCTCTCCCCTGAGAGGTGACCCACGGGAATAGACGTTGGCTTTTTGATGTTGTCCTTGAATCCTGGATGCTGGGGAGCAGAAGGCACCGCACATGGTTGGGGGGAGGAGGAAGGATTCGCTCCCTGACACCCCCCCTAGTGCTCCTCCTGGCCGGGGAGGGGGTGTGGGACACAGCCACCCTCTTGGTGACATCCTTTGTGCTTCGGGAGCCATCAGCTGACCCAGATCCCGGCGTTCCCGCCCAACCCTTGTCTCCCCACTTCTCCTCTCCCCCCAATGCCACGTCCTGACCCCCCCAGTCCCCCCTTGTCCCCAGCAGGCT